AAAAATGTACACTTTATTACACCTTCAGGTAGGATACATCACTACTCCTTACAATCCTACTGGATCAAGTACAAATGCTTGTTAATTATTTACAGGTTGACTTCCTAACACACTCCTGGGAGAAAGACACATCAAAAGGAAAAAAAGAAGAAAAAAAAAAAGGTGATTTTTACCTTCATTAACTGACCTAAACAAGAAACAATCGCCTCTTCAGACACCAAATCAGACCAGCACAATGATGCAGCCAACAGCTTTCCCACTGTTGGAAGTGCCCCCACCCTCCCCCCGAATTTCATGCACATCAGAGCTAAACATTTACAAGTAAAACTGGGGCTAACTACGCAAAACAATCGCCTCTTCAGACACCAAATCAGACCAGCACAATGATGCAGCCAACAGCTTTCCCACTGTTGGAAGTGCCCCCCCCCTCCCCCCGACTTTCATGCACATAAGAGCTAAACATTTAAAAGTAAAACTGGGGCTAACTAAGCAGTATTTTTGGATGAGCAACACTATACACAGTGTCAGTTATCCGTTACCATTGCATTTGCTTTGCATTTTAAACTATTCCGCTGCCAACACTACCAGCTTGGCGGCTAGTTAACGAAGTTTAGGTAATGGCACAAACCAGTGGAAACAGCTTAAAAAAAAAAAAACATCAATGCCCCGTATTTGCAGACCTGAGGGTCCAAGAAAAAGAGGATGCAGGAGAAAAGAGGTGTAAAATTAAAAAAAAAAAAAAAAAAATCAGGAAGGCTGCCTGACCCAGTGTTTACATTCGTGATCTTAACAGAATGGGCTGTACTTACCCTACTTAAAACAGAGGAGCTGACTGGGTATTCTTTCTTGTTTAAGCCATTTGGATTGCTAGGTACCAATAGGTGTGTACATACAGAGATAAGAACAAAAGATACACTTTCCTTGCCTTTAAATAGGCTCCCCTCCTAAAAGAGTAAAAAGATCACAGAATGGAAAAATAATTTTAAAACCATCTCAGAAAAGGAATGTTTTAACTTTGTCTGAATTTTACATGCCGTGCAGTTTTACGGCCAAAGTAAAATAAATCCATTCACTTTTTGATTCCTCACTCAGTGCTGTTTGCAAAGTCTGTTTTTCATTTTATGCAAGAAAAGAAAACCCCCACAGTTCTATGCAGCTTTTTGCTTGTGGGTTTGGTTTTTTTTTTTTCATAACAATAAGGCAAACTGATTTGGAGGAAGAGGCCACGCTCTATTCACATCCAAAATACCCACCTGAAGATACATTCATCGTTAGCTTTAGTAAAAGAATAGTACAAAAGTTAGATCTTATTCTTTACACAGTTGAAGAATTAAGTCTTAGATTTAATTTCACTATTCTCCCCTTCCCCCAGTCCCCCACCCGAGCTTTTTGATTCCTCACTCAGTGCTGTTTGCAAAGTCTGTTTTTCATTTTATGCAAGAAAAGAAAACCCCCACAGTTCTATGCAGCTTTTTGCTTGTGGGTTTGGTTTTTTTTTTTTCATAACAATA